TTTAAAAGAGATAAGGCAGGGCAAGAGGGGTTGGGAAGTTGCCCTCTATATGATGAAGTAGATAGATTGCAAAGGGCTGCCTCTGAGAAACAGCCTCAGGTTGAGACCTTGTGGATTAAAATCAGGCACCAGATCAATAAAGCGCATCTAGTAGTTGGGGTCTATTACAGCCACCTGATCAATGGGAACCTCTTAACAAAATCTTCTTGCTTCAGCTACAAGAGGTCACACTCACAGGCTCTTATCTATCTCTTATCCCCTGATAGGAGATTTCAACCATCCAGACAGGGATCATTAAAGAAACCATCACAGGGAGATCATTAAAGAAGACTGGAGGCAGTCTGGGCTGTAATGACTATGGCCTGGTTAAGTACACAACCTTGAGAAACGTATGCCTGGCAACAGAAGAGTAAGGACCCTGAACTTCAGGACAGTGAACTTCTGGCTATTTAAGGAATTACTGGATGAGCACCCCTGAGAAACTGTCCATGGGGACACAGGAATGGAAAAGAGCTGGCAGCAATTTAAGGATGCCTTTCTGATAGAACAAGGGCTCTCCATTCCCTAGCATAAGAAAAGAGAGGAGGCAGAAAAGAAGAGGAGGCAGAAAACCAGTATGACTGAACAAGGACCTTCTGGTCAAACTGAGCGATAAGAAGGAAAATACAGGCAGTGGAAATAGGGATGAGTGGCCTGGGAAAAGAGACGGCCAAAAGAGTGTATCCCCTCTGAAATAAGAAGGGAGAACTGGCTTCAACAGACATGGGGAAGGCTGAGGTGATCAACATGTTCTTTGCCTCAGTGAAGGGGGTGTGGGAGGTGACTGTCCCCTTCTGCTCCATCTTTGCAAGGCTTCATCTGCATCCAGGTCTGAGGCCTCCAGCATAAGAAAGATGCAGATCTGTTGGAGTGGGTCAAGAAGAGAGCCACAAACACAGAGTGCTGGAGCATTTCTCATAAATAAAGAGGAGACCTTATTGAAGCCTGAAGTACTTGAGGAGAGCCTATAAGTAGGAGGGAGACTGACTTTTTACATGGATTAGATAGTGATAGGACAAGGGGGTATGGCTTTAAACTAAAAGAGAAGAAATTTAGGTGAGATGTTAGGAAGAAATCCTTACCCAGAGACACCTCATCCCTGGAGGCACTCAAGGCCAGGTTGGATGGGGCTCTGGGCAGCTTGATATTGTGGTTGTAAACCTGCCCACAGAAGGAGAATTGTAGCTGTGTAATCTGCTACGAGGCAACTATTTATTTTCATGGAAACTACAACAGATACAAATAGCAAAATAACACTATTTGACAGAGCAAATTCTGAGCCACAAAACACTTTTTTCAACAGGGTCACCACCATTAGCTATGCATTTTTGCCAGCAATGAAGATGAGCCTGCATGCCTTGCTCATAAAAATCTGCCTGGCCCTATGGAAAGTGGCTTTCACATCACTGTCACTACAGCTGAAAAGCACGACCCACCACCTCACTGTGCTCACATTCACTGCTTGATCTACATAAATACTCTGCAAGCATCAGTGTATGTCCATGGGTGCAATTTATTCCACCTGGAGGAATTAAATTCCACACCTTTGCTTCATACGCACTTCCATATCAGACACCATCCTGTCAGACTGCCCCTTCTGCTGCCATCTGTCACACAGCAGCAACATGTAAAGAAATACTGGTGGGAAGGTTCTGCCTCTACTGCCATACCACCAACATCCGCCTCTGATATTAGTGAACATAATGGGGCAGTACTTTTGGAGCTGTACTTACAGATGATCTTTAAGATGCCTTCCAACATAAGCCATTATACAATACTATGAAATCGCTGTTATATTTAAATAAGCTGTCATTGAAATGAACATAAAATGTAGCTCATGATATAAACACATTTACGTCTGTTTGTCGGGTTGTTTCAAATGCACATGATGTTACCATCAAACTGTACATATTTCCCTGCTGTGATTTATTCAACAAAACATTACTGCCTCATTGATGCAAATGATGCATTTACTTCCTGTAATACGTAGAGACTAGTTTCCCAAGCTACATGGAATAGTATCCCTGCTCTCTAATCTTCCCAATGCTGCTTGTTTTTTGCCATGAAGAAGAAAGCAGACGAAATCATGATGTCAATCTGACTTGGGTAGAACATACTATGCTTTGTTGTTATTGTTTTAACATTAGAGTATAAGGGGTGCTAATGTGATGCTGGCTTTGCTATAAATCACTCTTAGTGTCTGAACTTTAACTTCATCTTGTGAGTTATTCCAGTTTGTTTGTACAACCAAATTCTATAATGTATTTGCACAGAGTAGGAGTACAATCACTGATTGTAGATTGGTCCAGAAAGGAACAGTAGCATGAAAGCAGTAGGAACCAGATTTTGCAAACAGTTTAAAAAATGTTTACAGGTTCTTCTACTCAGTAGAAGCCTTATTCAGAGGCTAGAGAAGTCAGGTGATATTCAGATGCAGTTCTGTATTTTGAATTGTATGATACACTTGTAGGAATAGCTGACATAGCCAAGCTGATCAAAATTGAAGCAATACAATTATTTTATCTGCCACCATCACGTGGCCAAAAGACAACAGAGTATGGTTTGTTACATTTTTTGCTTATTTGCTAATACAGCCTAGCATAAAACACAGTACTTGCTCAAAGAAAGCAGTGAGATCTTTGAGAAATCTTCTGCTTCTTACCCCAGCCTTTTGAACATCCTTCCTTCAGTTGTGCCAGCACAAATGCTTTGGTATCAACAAACTCATCAGATTAAAAAATAACCTTAACAAAGTAGTTGTTTCTAACACCATGGAGGGATCCACAATCTAGCTAACTGAATAGTTTCATGAACAGTTTCAGAGTAGTCATTGATGTAGCACAACACCAGTCTAGACAGTCAGAAGGGAGAATTCTACAAGCCTGAATTGTTGCTGAGAAAAAAAATAATCCATCATCAAACCTGGGCATCACTCTTTGCTGAGCAGTCCAGTTTAGGACAAGCTATGCTATCTTACATTTCAGAAATTATACCTGTGATTGCCTGGGATTGACTAGTTCCTAGTTCATATTATTTCTTACCTGTCGTTCAGTGGAAAATTAGTATCTACAGCTGAAAGCGACAACTTCAGTTTAGAAAGTGAACATAAGCAGTCATTTAAAAAACATGCTTTCATTTCTAATGTTTAAATGCTTCTCCTATACATAGTATTGGTATTTTCAGTTTATTTACCTGAACTAAGCAGAATATAACTACATAATGGTGCATTTAAATTTCTGGCATCCTAAGACACACAAGTTATTGTCTCCCCTTTTAAGTTTAAACAAAGGTGATAGCAGTTCTCCTGGCCTCTAATACTCTCTTTACTTGTTCATTATAGAATCCTTTCAACATCACCTTTAGCAATTCACAAACTCATTTTTTCCTGAGTAAATATTTAAACCAGATCTGTTTAAAAATGTCTACAGAAAGAAAGAAGATAAAAGCAAGCATTTAGATTTATAGCTAACTGGGTAATAATCAACAGCTAGTAGTGCTGAAAGGACTTCATCCATGTCTCAGCTTAAACAGGAACCTTTAGTCCAGGCAGGGGGCTGTGAGCCTTTGTGTCCTTTTGGTAACATTCTTAAGCAAATAAAAAATTCACCACACACCTCAGTGGACAATTAATTCATTGAAACAAGACATTTAAACTTTTCCTTTTCATCTGCAATATAAGAGTTTGCTGCACTAATATTTGTCTTTCTGTTTCATAGTGGAAAGAAAAGATAAGAAAAGTAGAGAATTAGAACTTAGCCTGCTATAATTGAGAACCTGCCCCATACACCTAGTCGTTTGTCTCCATTTAACTTCAATTAATGCAAACTTAAATTTTAAGCTATCAAAATGTATTAATGAGTGAAATAAACTGCAAGCATTTTCAGCATTAGGTTTCAAAAACTGACTTTCAAACACTGCTATTTATACTTTCTTGTAGAAACACACTTTCTATTTAGGCTTAAAACAGATATTTCCCCCCTGTGATGTTCAGTAAAATTCTCATAAACAGGTTTAAATTCATTCTGACCACCTTAGGCATAACTTCATAGGCTGCTTTGAGGACAGAAGACACACTTCCTTAAACTGAGATATCTTATTTCAGAGAACTGAGTTAAAGTCTCTGAGAACCACAGTGAAATACTGTATTTCACTTCATGGTAGGATTTCAGTTTATTAAGATTGTAGTAGTTGTTTTGTATTTAAACATGTACAACATGGTGCATTTCAGAAACTTGACAACTCATGCTTTCTATAAAGAATTGCTTCTGTTTGGAAAAGGGGAAAGCTTCCAAAACATAACATTTACAGAAAGTGACACAAGTAAACCCAATGTTTTCCACAACATTTTGCTGAAGTAGTTTTATTTTTCATACTATAAAGCATACAATAATAAATGCTATGAGAAAAATCCACTCCTTTTATTGAATTAAGAGCTCAGTGGGATATAGACCATCAATTATCTTAGAAAAAAGTATTAAAAAGCTGCTGTTACAAAATGAGGTGACTCTCTCATTTCAAAAAGATTCATATCCTCTCACTGGCCAAAAATGAAGAGAGAAACTGTGTACCTGTTTCCTTCTTAATGCATATAACACTACCAATTTATGTATACCATTCTCCCTTGCTATAACCTTAGAATTTATTTTAAAGATATCATCAAATAATCCTTTCTGCATATCACAAACTTTTATTCACTAATTAGAACTGGAATCAACCATGTAGTAGGACAGAGGATTGTTTATCCTCCAGTGTTTGGTCATATAGCTTTGTAATAACAGTGCTAGGCCTGTCCAAAAGTATTCACAAAACAATTTACTAACAAAAAAAAGAAAAATAAGTATAAGAATAATCATGCAAAGAATTCTTCGCTACATCATCAACGTTTTTTTGCCAGGCTTTCAGCTTAAACATTCTAAAGCAAAAAGTTAATTTTACCCCAACAGGAGATGAGGAACACTTACAGTGGGGCTCATAGGGAGGAGGAGGATCACCACAGGGAACACACTCCATGTCTTGAAAGCCTCCAAGCTTGGTCTTCCTATAAAAACTAGAAAATAGAAGAATAATTCATAGTGACAAAATCTTTCTCAGAGACATTTGAATGATGTCATGCTCTCGTACAAAGGACTTATCTAAAATACCTTCCTAATCAAGCAGGTCTGGCTTTTTTTCAACCATAGTATTAACCTAGCAAAATGTTTTCTGTTGAGGCACATTAAGAAAAAAGTACTAACTTTACTTTTGTTTAACTACTAACATAAATATTCCTTTAAAATATGAAAACTCTATCAGCTAAAACAAACAGCTTTCCAATTGCTCAAGAACTTTCACACTAACAACATGAATAGAAACAGATTTATAGGCTCCAGGACTGGAGGTACCAATTCATTCACTTGGAATGAAATCTGTTCACATCTGTTTGTAGCTGACACAGCTACTGAATCATTTTGAAGCTGAAAAATAGAAAATGATGCTTTGGAAACCAGTGCAAAGCAGATACCATCATATTTTATGAGAGATAATAGCTAAAATTTTAGTTTGACCAGCTGTAGATTATATGTACATCCATTTTCTTAGGCCACATCTAAGTGATGGGTAGGGTATATAAGTGGTGTTACATTCTATAGCTCTACTCCTCACATGGTCCAGACTAGAAACTCAGTGATTCCTCTACTCATGTTTCCAACCTTACTGTCAGCAAAAGCACATTGTGTTAACAGCTGCCATCTCAACATGTACCCAAACACATGGATCTAGAGCAGAATACTTACAAGCAAGCTCAAGTAAGGTTCACTCCTAAATCATGTTTTACTCAGGCTTCTTTTTTCCTTCCTTTTCCATCTTACAAAAATACAGCTTATATTATTTACACAAGAAAATTGTCTACTGTTTCACAGCAAAATAAGTCCTACAGTACATATGTAATAACATGCAATAAGAATGTAACCAGTCATTTGGCTTTAGGACTTTTCAGATGCCATTGTCAGTAATATTTAATCTAGAACTGTGACTTAAACTAATACTAGTTACCAAAGCTTTATTAATTGCTTTTTAAATGAAAAGGCCTCACTTCTGTCTTGAGAGGAATAATACAAGGAGCTTCAACAGCATTCAGGTAATTGTTAGCTGCTTTGAAAATACGTAAATATAAAAATTAAATTGCAATGTGTATCTACATCTATATATCTGAAATACATATCCTGAAATTATAAAACCTGCTACAATTACAAATCAGTTCTCATAACCTACACCTACCAGTTAAACTACCAACTGATAGCTCAAAAAGGCATGAAATATCTTTTAACAAATTCACAGCAAATATTGATAATAGTGGAACTTGGCCACAAAGAAAAGAAAAATCTTTTAGAGACCTTGCAACTAAGTTCTATAAAAGGAGAAGATTAGCAACAAAGATCAAACAAACAAAGCACAGCTCCTGACTTATACCATAGCTATTTGATTAAGTCTCCACACTTATAATTTGCCCCAGAATATTTCCCTTAGATACACTTGTGATTTTTCAGTCAGGATCATACTCTATGAATTTACCAAAAAAGTAAGAGAAATTCAGGAGCGTGAACCAAAATCACTACTCTAGTGCTGAAAACATACATGTATGAGAACTTTTACACATTGACCCAAGGAAAGGAGAAAAAAGACAAAAATAATGTGTTCAGTCCTTCAAGAAGGTAAATATCAATGTTATAACAAAGTAAATATTTTGAAACAATGAAGGAACTCGCAAGTAACAACATTTTATCAGACTATTTTGACAGTTGAAAATTAAGACAGAAATTCTGAAATTAGTTGCTTGCATGATATAAAAAGTTATTGGCAAAGCCAAGATTAGAACACATGTCCTTCATAGTTATGTAAAGGATCTACCCAATCATTCATCTGGAAAATATCATCAATCAATGTTAATGCAAATAAGCTTTGCATTTGTTCAAGTCTCATCTTCAGAAATGGCCTTACCTTGGTAAACAGTCTCCACATAGTGCATTGCTGGTGGCAGAACAGTTGGCCTTCTGAAAACGGTTAACTAGTGCACAATCCAGACAAGGCTTGCACTTCTGAAAGCCCCAGTCTTCCTTGAATCTGTTTGGCCTGCAAGTCATGCACTGTGCATCCTCCCCATATCCAAAGCCGCATTCCTGTAGGGATTAACAAGCAACAGTAAGCTATTCAGTCACTGAAAGCATGAACAAGAAGAGAATGCTGGGATAAAATGAAGACCTGGTATAATTATTACTGAGAGTAGTCTTTCCAGAGACAAAAGGAATCCATTCAGCAAGTTCAAATGTGTCTTCCACTGCTAATAATCTCCCTTACTTCTATAAGTAATACTCAGTCAACCACTTTATTCCAGAAACCACTGTGTATTTAAATGATAAAGGGCTTCAAGGACTCCCACAGTTTCATTATTACTAGCTTATGGTAGAATTATTGAGCTGTCTGTTTTTTAATTAGGTCAGTCATGTGAAAGTGCAGGAACTGGGACAAGTGAAGTATAAAGGCACTTACTCAGTTACAAATACAGCAGAGAAGCACTTTGATATTAAGGTTCACAGTTAAGGTGAACAAAGTTAATTGCTGAATAGAGTGTACTGATCTTCAAAGGCTTAGAAATTCTGTTACCAAATAAAACAGAGCTGGTTAATGACCACTGGCTACACACAAAACGTTGCTTAGCCATTAAGAATTTCAGAAACTCAACCCACTCCAGTTCTAACAGTACTTAGCCTGTCAGATAAAATTAATAGCTCTGGGAATCAGAGGGATGCATAATATTTGACTATATAGGGAATACTGTTATGGCTGGTGATTCACCCATTTCAAGAGATTCTCTCCTTTCATTTGGAAAAAGACACATAATACAACTGATTGGCAACAAAGAGAAACAATTTACCAAACTATCCATAATACTTTGGGGATTGAGTTCTACAAACTAATTATATAGAACTATCAATCTATTTCATTTTTCTGTCTTTTTTTTTTTTTTTTAAGAGCTATATCAAGTCACTAGGAGTTGTTGCTTTAATTACTATTAATTGGTGCAGTAACTTGACTAAATGCATTAGTGGCACAACACTAAAGCAAAAAGGATGCAACAAATTGTTGGAAAGGACTTATGGGGACAGAAATAGATGGGAAAGACAGCATGAGGATCTCTTTCTCCAGTGTGCAGTCTTAATGGAAGTATAGAGCAAATTCCCAACAGGAAAACTTCAAGAGTTCTTCAACTGGAGCAACTTCAGGTAAGGTTTCCACCACTTTCCTCCACAAAGCTCTGTGTTCCATGCATGCAAATCACTTTTCCCAGACAGTCATCTAAGCAAGCCTGCTGCTGTAAATGGCTTTGAGCCTCACAAATGCACACAGGATTCTCCACGACTTTATTTTGAGAACATTCATGAAACTTGATCTGTGATGGACTTAGCTAATAGATGCTTTTAGTGCCTTAGATTTGCGATGATATGGTAAAGTATCAGAAAGAAATAACCTCTAAGGATGCATTTTACTGGACGCTCTAAGAATTTTCTAATTTTCTTTATATTAAAAATACTGCCATCTGGAGAATAAGCAGTCAAGTACACACAAAATGAACACTTCTAAGAAAGTAACTACAAATGGATATGAAATATCTTTCCTCCATCTCTAGATCCATGAACTAAAGAGTACACAGAGGGGATAACTTAGAAATAAGTTTTAGCTTTTTCGTCTTTTTTTTTGCAGAAATGCAATTATTTGCTATTATTTTTCATATTAAGGAACAGACAATCCTTACCAAAGAAAACATATTAGTTTCATATAACGTACAGCATGCTCCTCCTCCAACATATTGCCCATAATAATGGTAGTATGCTAATGCAGATACAAATACTTCTTTTGTTTTTTAACTGATTTCAGCCACAGAATGTTTTTCTACCACTTAATTCTTGGTCTATTGGCTTCTGCTAGGAATCAATGTCAAAACAAAACAGAACTGCTATAATCATCAGTATGTTGTCTGAAAATGTCTCAGTGTATTCAATTTCATTTACGCAATTGCAAGATTTCATACAAAGGCACAATTACCACAGAGGACCAGAACCAGACTAACTTCTGTTACAACATTTTGCTTTTCCTAACTCCAAATAAACGTTTTCTTTACCACATTCCTTCTACTCTATATTCTTTCTGTTTAGATCACCCAAATAGCAGTGTTACTTAATATACAATATAGCTCAGACAAACTTTATACGTTTGGATCCTTTGATAAATCACTTCAAAACAGTCACTCCCAAGTCCTAAAAATTTTCAAAAATAAAACCTAGATTAGCTTGATTGTAAGTTTTCCTTTCCAGACTACCTTTGAAGTTTCCAGTTAAAAACAAGCAAACACCAGGAAATGAAGTTAAATACTTTTAACTCATTAACCCAAAGTATTCAGGTTTTGGTAAGATGTTTCTAGATCTTACAGATCTGCTTTGCTGTAGTTAGCTATATGGACAAATCCTAGTGATCTTTTTTAACCTGGAGTGGTTTACCATTAAGCAGTAAAAATAGCAGATGCAATATAAAGAAATCTTCTGCCCAAGGGATTTTAGCATCTCCAGTCTTTTCAAAGACGACTTCTAAGTCTTTGCCAGGAATTCTGCAGATGTGATCCATAACAACTACAAGTTTATGTATGTGCTTTTTATGTTCGCATAATATTTGAGGTAGTTAACTGCCTGGCAGGTGCAAATAAATATTTAAGCTTGTAATCCAGGCAGAACTTCAAAGAAATCTGTACTCATAATTAATTGCATTCCTTAAACTGAAGGATATTATTTAGGTGATGGATTCAAACCTTTTGAATATTTGGATTTTATGATTTATCAGCCCCACAAAGAGACAAACAACTGAGTTTTCATCTTCTATCGGTACACGCGCAAAACTGAGGTGCATCAGTTTTCTTAGTGCTGTATTTACAAAGCTGCAAGTTGTACGGCTGATGAGAACTCAGCCATATAGTCCTCAGCTCCCCTCATCCCTTCTACTCTCCCACCCATGCTCAGAAATAAGTGCTCATTTCCTGTGGTAGTTCACCTCAGGACTGCAGGAAAGAGGAAAAGCTTATAACATCCATTAGTTGGATTTCAAACTATTATTTCTGTTATCATATCAGAAAAAAAAAAGCAGGTAAACACACACTGTATTTGTCTCTCTTTTTGCAAAGCAGGCTGTGAAGAACACTTTGCCCATTTTTTTCTTTTCGTTTCCCCTTACAGCATTGCCATCAATGGTAATAGTTAACAGGAATGAAAAATTTCTCTTAAATAATACACAGTACAAGCTAAAAAAAGAGAAATATTAATTTAGAAAACTGTATTAAAATTCATTGAAAATATCCTCATAATTCAAATACACTTCCGTTTTATGGATAATTACAAAACCTTCACTGTCACAGTACTTGGCATCTCATCATCTTGAATACATTGATCCCCAGAAAAACTTTGTTCAGATGCCACCAAAGCATCTGTAGCAAGACAGGACAATAAATCCATAACTTAGTTTGAAGCCAAAACATATTAAATACATACAAAACAGGCACTTAAAAATATTGTATTAGCAGTTTTAAACCTTTTCTTTCAGTATATACTACCCATATACTGACTCAGACAGAAAAGCCAAAATTGCAGCAGACTATGAAGGGTAATGGAATTAAGTGGTGTGGTTCTTCCCTAGAAGTTGAGTGCAGCACAGCAAGTAAATGAACAGCAAAGTAGAGTCTTTCAACTAAAATAACTTCAAATTCCATTTAAAAATTCTTTCAGGCATCATGAAAATCATAATCTGACAGTACTCTTTACAGTTTTTTCCTTTAGTTCTATTGATTATCCTCAACCTAAATAAGTCCTTATATTGTACAACACTAAGAAGATCCACTTGGTCCATCATGACTAATTGAACACTTGGATATTCTCAAAAAAAAAAAAAAAAAAAAAAGTCTTTCAGTTACTCAGACATAAAAAAATCAGGTCACATAACAGGTTGCAGCATTACATCATGGCTGGGATCTGCCTCATCTACAGTTGAGTAATCAGATGCCAACAGAAGTCATGGAGCAGGACAGGATGCAACAGTGCACTGCAAATGTGAGATTTAGCTCCTGTGGCAAAGTTAGTGTCAGAAAAGTTTCACGTTTGGTGAGTAAGATTTGACATGCCTACATGCATCTGCTCCAGAGTCCAAGAGACTGACCCTGGAAGACATTAGCCTACTACTGAAGAATGGCAGTCTTCTTCAGAAGCAGCCCTCTAGCTTTAAAAAGTTATGGTGTCACAGCTGAACACAGCAACAGTTGCCCTCAGTAACTTCACCAGGATAACATCAGATGCAATACCACCTCATTTTCTTTGTAAGGACAAATTCACAAGCAGATGTAAACAGCACCTTTCTGATTAATTCATAATTCCTGTTCTGAGCTATGATGCAAGCCCCTCTTTCCTTCATCAAATACCTAGCACAAGGAGGTAACCTATGATGCAAAGAATAGCCCTATATCAGCAGCACTCAAGGTGCCTCTGCCCGCAAAGTCAACAGTCTGCTAGCGATGGCATTTATCACCATGTATTTGGTGACATAAATGGCTTAAAGCATTCTCTCCCTTTCATCTGTGCTTTTTCTTCCTTGTAGTACGCTGCCCTTAACCACTGATACAACAGAGCATGAGGCTAAACTGTAGATCTGATCATGAGACAGACTGTGATCAGTCCAGCAATCTGTTTTCCGGTGCATCCTAAAGATTTACTGTCCTGGCACAACTGTACGCTCGGGCAGTGCACTACAAGAAATAAACACTATTGTCAGCTCAATGTTTCTGAACTACAACCTCAGGTGTGACCTGTTGAAAAAGTCATTGAATCAGAGAATGACCTGAGTTGAAAAGGATCACAATAATCATCCAGTTTCACACCCCCTGCTATATACAAGGTCACCAACTACCAGACCAGACTTGGCCTTATTGAACCTCATTAGGTTCACATGAGCCCACTTCTCCAGCCTGTCCAGGTCCCTCTGGATGGCTTCCAGATTCACAGTTAAAATTCTGAATTGTGAGACAAGCTTTACAGAGCTGAGATATGGATTACTTTTCACGTAGAGGTAAAAAAAGAAAGTAAATGCA